TGTCCTTTTTAATTCCCTTAGACAATCTTTCACTTTCCCTATATATCAACTTCCCATGCACCATAATTGATGATATAAATAATTATTGCTAGGATTAAGATTTATTAATCCCAACAGAATCCATTAAAGAAGTTAAAAAGAAAATCACCATTTATTAGTAAAGAAAACGTTGAAAAGAAAATTTACCGTTGCTTGAGATGAGGTAGAAGGAGGAGGGGGAGGTGTCACAGTCCTCGGCGGATGCGGTTGCTGCGACGGCTACGGCAGCTGCGACGGCTACGGCAGCTGCGACGGCTGCGGCTGCTACGACGGCTTCGGCAGCTGCGACGGCTGTGGCGACGGCTGAGGCGGTTGCGGCGGGGGGCATGGGTAGGGGTACAAATCTTCTCAGAAACACTCGGCAAGTTCTCAAGAGTGCAAGATTTCCTGGTCGGAGATAAAATCGAAGTTCATCCCAGACGACAAGGTTTCTTTCCATCACAACTTGTTGCCATCTTTCTGCCAAGAAATAGAAGCGCAGGTAGTGTCTGCATGTAGTTGTGACGTGATAGTGAAGGTCGCCGCCGAAGACGAGTGCAATGTGCACTACATCACCTTATGTAATTTCCCATTCCACGCCCATGTGGCGTGGAACGTACATCTCGATGAGATAATAGGCGGTCAAAGTTTTCTATCGGCGCCATGCATATTATTTTACGTACATATATTGTGTGTGTCATGCTAATATTTATTTTGTACAAACTTTGTCGCCGTGTATTTAGAAAATAGAATTCCTTTCTAGTTAGACTTCTTGTACGTATCATTCATTAGCTATTATTTTTCTCTTATCGTTTAAGCTCTCACACGGCTTTAACCCTTGTATATATGTATTAGATGGATCAATGAGAATACACAAAAAATTCCATATCTCTTTTGTTATTTAATATGGTATCAGAGCGGTAGAAAATATATCTGACTCTTGACAATGACCGACGATGACAACTCGGCTTCTTCCGGCAACGGTAAATTTACCGATCGCGAGGAACCCTGACAACGAAAAATCATGGATCCTACATCTCCTTACTACTTATCAAGCTCGGATTCTCTTGGGCAGACCGACCGACCGATCATGTTGACGACATAGAAGATTGGATCAACGTCAATTCGATGTTGGTTGGATGGGTCATGACGGCCATAGACCCATCTCTACGAACTAGCATCACCTGTATGGATGATGTTTACGATCTTTGGGAAGATTTGAAGAAGCGGTTCTCGGTTGGAGATCCGGTGAGGATCCATGAGCTCAAGGAAATACGTAATACAATAATACTCCGTAGTAATAAATAATAATATAATAATAACAATAATTACAACAATCTTATCAAACAAGCAATAATAATTACAACAATGATAATGTTTACGCTTATAATAATATTAGTAATAAGATACAAATAGTACGAAACCAAGCATTCCAGCCCAACTGGTTGTGAGGTTATCGTGCCTAGTGGGAGGTTTCGAGTTCGAAACCCGCTAGGCACACTAGGGCTTGAAACTTAATGAAGTGAGTTTCAACCCTAATTACTCCGGTCTCCCCCCAGCCCCCCTCCCCCAGTATCCCGCTGGAGTAAAAAAAAAGTATGGAGGTAGATGTTTAGCAAAATTCACCTGAGTTTGAACTTTGAAACCATATCCTCCCTATTAGCAAAGTTCCCACACCGGTGGGAGAGTAGCAGTGCTCTTCACCACAACTCTATAAACATATCACATCTTCAGTATTCCATTTATTCCTTTGCATTAAGCTTTCCAACACCATGAGAGAGTAGGATTTCTCTTCACCAATAGTCTATATTGTCACACCATCTGTTGATAGTACGCTTTCAATGTTTGAAAGGGTAATTGGAGGAAATGAGAACAATTTCGTTCGCATTTGAACACTCATGTAGTATGTTTATTATTACGCAGTAGTTTACAATATGTACTCGTACAAGATTATTCTTGTTCGGAAATTGCGGACAGGAGCCCCATACGGCCTCCTCCGTTTGGGGCGGTTCCCAGTGGTATTTTTTGCTGAATTTTTTTGTATGTTCTTCATCAAGTCTAGTTTATTCATACCAAATTTCAGCTAAAAATTCAATCGGGAAGGCAGTCAAATGTTTTTTGGAAGTAAACTGCGTTTTATATGTATATAAAATGCGCAGTTTACTTCCAAAAATCATTTGACTGCCTTCCCGATTGAATTTTTAGGTGAAATTTGGTATGGATAAACTAGACTTGATGAAAAAATGCAAAAAAAAATTGCGCAAAAAATACCACCGGAACCGCTCCAAAAAGAGGAGACCGGATGGCGCTCCGGTCAAGAAATTCCTGACCGGAAGATTACTCTTAATATGTATACATATATATAATGAAAAAGTTGTACGGCCGCAGGGGCACAAGCCCCTCCAAGCCCCATAATGGTTTACTGGTTCCGCCACTGAGTGATTTGCACTTTATCGCCGACTTTTTTTTTTGACTGAATTCGGCTTAGATTAATAACCAATAATAATTCAGAGTATGAGTCAACTGACAACAAAGAAACTGATAACCGTTATCTCTCGAACCAGACTTGGAATTAATCGTCGTAGCAATATAATCCGCTGATCCATAACCGGGAAACACAAAGCCTAACACGGTTACCAAATTCCTCTCATCTCCACATCCAAAATCAACGTCTTACAGACCAGAACAGGAAACCAGAAACAAACACCAAAACAAAAACTAAAGTTGATGAAACAGTAAATAAAACAGAATGAATAACACCCTTTTCGCCGCCAGACAACTGAAACTAGTCTTCCAGTTTTCGGCTTCACACCTTCAACCAGTGTATTCGGCGGGCTTAAGGAACCAAGCCCGCCTCCTCCCCGTTTTTTGTCCCATATGTGATCATGGTGTCCTCCTCATTCTCTTTCTCTGTCTGAGTCTCCCAGATCTTCCTTCTTTTGGAAACCTCTTCCTTTGGCTCCTCCCCACCTTGTGTGAAGCTTTAAGCAGATTCTGTCCTTGACCCTTTCTCCTTGTTTTTCATATTTCCTTCTGATCTGGATGCCCCTGGGCCGCCCCCGATTTGCCAGAGCTAGATGAACCCTCTAGAAGCAAGGCTTGCCCTCCTGTAGGGCTGGTCTTCACCCCGCTACCTGCTCTAAGATGAGATCCAATCTTTTTTCCAAAACCAGTCCTTCTTCATAATTCAGAGGACAAAAATTATCTGAATGACCAACCAAACCACGTATAAAGCAAAAGGTGGGTAGCCTTTCATATTTAAAATCCACCCAAAAACTTTTACCATCTTTTTTCAGATTTGTCCTCTTCTTCAGTGATTTATCCATCTTCATAAGGACTCTAACACGCATAAAATCAATCAATCATCATTTACCCAGTTCCCAAAGGCTCCCACCTACGGTGGGGTAAGGGGGGGGGGATCGGATGTACGCAGTCTTACCCCTATACTGAAACACAGAGAGATTGTTTCCCAATGACCCATAGTGAAAATTGGGACCAAAATTGTATGTATGGCTCTAATTTTTCTTTTTTCTAATAATCATCATATTTAACAAATTCTCCTAAAAAACTCCCAACGCGTCTAGTAGTGCCCAAATTTACCAAACTATAAGGAACATTATGAACCTGAACCCAAAATTCAGCCTCATTCAAAATAATTTTGTGTGGTATATCATCAGGCATAATTTCTTTAAGTAAAACCAAGCTACGTTCATACTGCCAAGGGCCTCCTTCCAGAACACGCTTCATGTCAAAACGATGGTTAAAGGAAAAAAGATACCTCTTTTCCCCAATTTCTTTAACTCACATACCTTTTCCTGGCCTCCATAGTGCAAGCATTTGCTCTTTCGGCTTCGAGAACCGGACTTTGTGATCTGTCAGCACCTGTCCGATCACGGGGAAACCCGCTGCCTCCTCCTCTACCGGAACGTCTTCAAGCCCGCCGTCATTGAGGTTTATCTCTGCCTCGTCATCCCCGATTGCCATCTGCTTATAGCGGTCCACAACACTCTCCATGAACAGGAACTCTTCGCCGAAAAATTACACCTTCAACGAAAACAGCCGACAACTCTCTACCTTAACCCTGCCTGCCCAAGACCCCTGCTTAAAAAGCCAAGACCACCGCCCTAACACCCACTTTGAACTCGCCCCTCGTCAACCCTGCAACCCACTGCCCCTCTAACCAATAAATGCGCTCCTCGTAAAGACGAATGCGGACAATCCGATGCTAAGGGTTAGCAGCCGCTAACCCTAGAGAGAGAAAGACTCTATATTTTTTTCCTTCAATTACCACTTTATCGCCGACTTACAAGGTTTCATTTGAGTTTTTTTTTTAGATCTAAAAGGTGATTTGCATTATCGATTAGTTTGAGGGCTGATACTTTTTCCTTAATCTAATATTATGATTTTTTTTATCATTAATATTAGGGATAAGGGTCAGATAGGGCCTCGAACTTGAAAAAAAATGTCAAATAAGGTCATATTTCGGATGCTCTGTCTGGCCGACGCCATTTGGGGCGGTTCCCGATGGAATTTTTTGATAAAATTTTTTGAGCATCTTCCTCATTAAGTCTAGTTTACCCATATCAAATTTCAGCTAAAAACTCAACCGGGAAGGTAGTCAAATGAGTTTTTGAAGATAACTGTGAAGTTAAACAACGCCGTACATTTCGGAAAATTATTTGACTACCTTACCGGTTGAATTTTTAGCTGAAATTTGGTATGGGTAAACTAGACTTAATGAGGAAGATGCTCAAAAAATTTCATCAAAAAATTCCATCAGGAACCGCCCCAAATGGCGTCGGCCAGAGAGAGCATCCGAAATATGACCTTATTTGACATTTTTTTTCGAGTTCGAGGCCCTATCTGACTCTTATCCCTTAATATTATGATTTGAATATTTGATTTATAATGACTCCATTAAAACGAAGAAGTAAATTTGATCACTTTAAACCATATTGGAATGGTTATGTTCAATCCGAAAACTTTTTAGGATTTTACCTCTCAACTAGAGTCTAGACTCTTCCTTTGGTCAATAGTTCTTACAAGTACTTCTTAGACCTGGCTTAAATCTCCGACCCCTAAAATGCTCACGAATCCATCAACGTTGGCTCCCCAAATCAGTAGAGTTAATCAGACGTTGTCAAACAGAAGAACGCTCGTAGAAAGATCCCAGGTCTTCCTAAAGCCTCCCGTCCGGAATCGGCCGCCAATTCACCGGATGGCTGTATCTATACAGACAGAGTTTATGGTGGAAATGTCATGTGAAGGGTGTGTGAAGTCAGTCAAGAGTAAATTGCAGGCTATCGAAGGTGTTAAAAGCGTGGATGTTGATCTCAATAATCAAGTGGTAAAAGTTTTCGGTTCTTTGCCTGTGAAGACTCTGACTGAAGCTTTGGCACAGACCGGTCGAAATGCTCGGCTAATTGGACAAGGCAATCCCGAAGATTTCCTTGTATCTGCTGCTGTGGCCGAATTCAAGGGGCCTGATATATTTGGTGTGGTTCGCCTTGCCCAAGTGAATATGGAACTGGCCAGGATCGAAGCTAACTTCACTGGGCTGCCGCCTGGGAGTAGACATGGCTGGTCAATCAATCAATATGGTGATCTGACACGCGGTGCAGCCAGCACCGGTGGAATTTACAGTCCGACTGCCGACACTGGGAAAGAGGTAGGCTGGGTAAGGCCCAAAGTGGAGCCCTAAAAATGTTCTAATGCGAGTGTTTAGAGACCTTGAGGGTTTAGGATTTTGAGGCCCATAAAATTTAACAATAGTTTAGATTATTGGTTGGCTATTTTAGAAATATAATAATCATTTTTTACAGATTAGAAATATACTCACTAAGTAACTACTATAGTGATAATGGAGGGGAGTGATATAAGTACTATAAGCATATCATAGTAACCATTTCCCCTTACCGCACTGTAGGTCCCCGTCGTAGGTGGGAGCTGCGGGCTGCGGCACTAGGGTGATGATGATGAGATCATAGTAACCATTGTCTTACAGTTTTGTTACCGTTGATATATATTGAAAGTTAGATTTTTTGCCTCTTTTTTATATCTTAGGCATAAATAAACTTTGAGTGAACCATAACAAAATCACTGGAAAATCTCTCCTAAATCCATGATTAAGTGCACATCATAGGTGTGTTGTTGTGTGATTGGTATACCCACAAAATATGATGAATCCTTTGAAGTGTTTTCAGTTGGACTTGAACTTTCATGTCTATAACTGCCTGGATTATTGTAGTTTGGTGGGATCTAAATTGATCTGATTTAAAGTTGGTATTGGCTGATAGCATGCACATTCTGTAATTATCTGCGTTTGTTATGTTCTGTTCTCTTGAGTCTTTTCTTGCATGGTCTATTTAAGCCTCGCCTCGAAACAGCTCAGTGAAAACATCATTGATCAAATACTGTATTTATAACTTATAGTAACAGTGTAACACACATTACTAATTTTGTGTTGAGTCTGGCATACAAACCCAGTTTGATAAACGTTATTTGTGTGACTATCTTCCTATCTAGTGACATTTTTCACAAGCTGTTAAAATAGTGCGTGCAAATAAACTTTTCACTTTGTCAGGCACTTGGTGATCTGGGAACACTGGATGCCAATGAAAAGGGTGAGGCATTCTATTCTGGTGTTAAAGAAAAGCTGAGAATAGGTGATCTGATTGGGAGAGCAATAGTTGTGTATGAGAGGGAGGACAAGTCAGATGGAGGGATGAAAGCAGCAGTGATAGCTAGAAGTGCTGGTGTTGGTGAAAACTACAAGAAACTTTGCACTTGTGATGGAACTACTATCTGGGAAGCTCACAGCAATCTTTAAAGAAAACCCATATACAGTAGTCAGTTAGTTTCTCAAGTTGTATTTGTAACACCAAGAACTGTGCATTTGCAACTCTACAGTCACCTCATTCCATGACTGGTGTGATCTAAATATCTAATGACATCTGCTTGACATTATACGTATAACAATAGTAATAATAAGGAATTAAGGATTTCACTCTTCCCACGTATAAATGAGATCTTAGTTTTTGACGTTTAATTTGAAATTGAGATTAGTTATACAATGCTGGTGGCCGGCTTCCGATTAGTCTATTGTCGTGAGATGTCGTGAAGGCGTCATTAGCGGTGGACTCGGGCCGGGCGGCCCGACCCGGTTACTGTTTGGCCCGGCCCGGCCCGGGGCCCGGTGGGTCCAGCGGTTCGGTTTGGCCTGGCCCGGGTGATGGGCGGTCCGGGCTCGGGCCCTGCTTTAGGCGAACCGGCCCGGCCGGTCCGGGCCCGGTCCGGGCCGGATTTTAATTCTTTTTTTTTTTAAGTTTTGGGTTGGATTAGGTATTTTGGGCCATTTGAGGTGGTTTGGGGTGGTTTGGGGTTGAGGGGGAGGGGTAGGGGGTTAAATAGGAGAACCAAAAAAAATGGACCGGTTTGGCCCGGAACCGGAACCGGAACCAGCCACCGGCGGTTCGGGCTCTGGCCTGAGGCCCGGTCGGGCCCGAACCGGCCCGAGTCCAGCCCTAGGCGTCATGAATTGTCACAAAACTACAAAAGTTACAAATAAATAAATTAATCACAAGCCCTTTTTTTGTGGTTTCCTTTGGACAATGTGCAAGTGTGTAACGTAATTCATGATACTCTAAAAGAATGCATTTTTCAAACACAAATTTTGTTTAAAAAGTGTGAAATGCAAAGATTAGTCCCTCCCAACACATAAAATAGCTAAAGGCCAAACACTCATACCAAATTATTTGTACAAGTCAAGTTTTCGGTAAGTTATTTACCCAATAACACGACTAATTAACAAAAGCACATACCGCGTTCTAAAACTAATGGTTTAAGAAACCCCAGAGACAACCAAAGTTGAAACAATCTTGCAAACCAACACCATTATTAGTTAAAGAGAAATTGCAGGAGTATTAGGTTTTGGTATTCAACCAATAGGAGTGCCTTTGAATCATTCTTTTAGGAGCACAAAATGTGAAAAGTCTATCTTACCCTAACACTTCAATACTAAACTTCTTTACTCCTCTACTTTCTTTCTCCCTGTCCAACTTCTCCATTCTTTCTCCTCGAATATAGGTCATATCTCTGTCCATCTTCATTGTTAGTCTCACACAAATTCGCTTAATTTTGTTGCATATCTCCTTGCCTCACCCTTTCTTGGTCCTTCGTGGCGGCTGCCAATTCTCTCCCATTTTCTCTGGTGCTATTCGTATATGAATGATGTATATGCGAGACTGTGAGCTGTGTCAAAGAGTGATAAAACTAAATTTATATAATCTTAAGTACTTGTTTAGTCCTTTTGTGACCTTTTGGGTTACATTGTGCTTCAAATAATCAATATCCCGATCTTGATTAAGGATGTTTTTAATCAAGATCAGTCCAGACCAGACCAGACTTGGATAGTTATAAAAATACAAAGAAACCAGACCTTACCAGACCAGACCAGACCAGTTCAGACCAGATCAGACCAGACCAGACCAACAAATTACAGTCCAAGTAAAAACATCCTAATTGTGGATGTCAGTAATTTATTTCTTTTTGTGAGTTTTTGAGCATTCTCACTTTGTAAACTTTCCTCCCCTATCACTTGATTGTATACCCTTCATAAGAAATCCTCTTGCACAACTTAGCAAAAGTATTTAATGCATCATATTCAAGGAAAGTAGTCCAATGACGGAATATCTAGAAGACAATTTAAAAAGAAGTTAAAAACTAGCATGTCCTGATCTTCTATGCCGCACAAGAAGTGTCTTCATGTACAAAGCTAAACAAGTAATATTAGCAACAAGTATCATGTTGTTACTGTCCCTACATTGGAATCAAATACAACTTTGTGACCATCATCACATAGTCGATTCATGTTAAGAAGATTATATTTAATACCAACAAACAGAAGGTCCTTAAATGTAGTAAAAACAAAAATGCTTACCTTGACCTTACTCACTACCTCCTTTTTATCTGCTCATTGAAATCCTTATTTGGTTGAGTTTTACGAGCTTAACCATTGATTGCAATTCACAATCTTATTGAGGTTCAATATTATAGAAATACTATACTTAATGGGTTGTTTGAAGATTAAACATAAAAATAGATTTAGTACAAGTCACCTAACAAGGATTAGACTCAAATCATTAGAGAAGTAAGATATATATACACTCTGATCTGTGTACAACTAAATTAATTCAAATGTAATAATTTGTGATTATAAGTCATTGTAATTCTTAAATAAAAGATATATTAAAAGCTCAAAACAAATAAACAAATCTCAAAATTTTATATATTAATTTTCCTTTAACAATCAAGTGATGATACTTGATACATATAGATGTGTTAAGAATGTATCCATTAAAAGTGTTGAGTCTAAGCCATTTCCTCTTGCTGTATTCAAAGATGAAAAAGTAGTTATCGACATACATATCTTGTGATATGATGCTTTCATAGAAATTTTAATTCATATATCAAATTATCAACGTCAACTCTTGTCATTTTTTTATTTATATGTTAATTATAAATTAACAATAAAGCATAAGAGCTTATTTATCTGAAATTCATCTCTGATATTTTGATAAGATGTAATTTTCATTGCAAACATACTAATAGTAAAATATCACATACATTATTCACAGTTACACTTGGAATGTCATAATAACATTCAACATTTTTCGATAAAACATTATTGGTTGTAAGCGCATTTGTTAACACTGAAATTGATTGAATCATCTGAATCTGCTGAAACTAATGAAAATCTGGCTGAAACGGTTTAATTGGTTGAAACTGTTAATTATATAAAAATTAAATTTAAAATATATTTGATTAATAAAATAAAAAATACTACCTCCGTCCCATTTTATTATGTGTCGTAGTTTGACTCGGCACGGTTATTAATGAAGTGGTTGAAAAAGTAAAAGTTGTGGTTGAGATTTGAGTATAATAAAGTGAAATGGTGTAGACCACATATTTCTTTCCAAAAAAGGAAAGGAGACACTTATTTTGGGACAACCCAAAAAGGAAAATAGGACAGATAAAATGGGACATAGAGAGTATAAAAATAGCTAAAGTTATATTCTACCATAACTTCGCCCAATTTAGCCCGAAAAGTAAAGTGAATTGTTTATTAAGGTAAGTATTACATTTATAAATCAAAATACTTTTTCCTCACGCGCGGTCTCGTGGGGAGGAGAATCAAGGACACTTGGGAATATGGAAAACTTCGAACCATGGAGCTCTGAGCTTTTATTCGAGTTACTCTTGACAAGTTGAGCTATTGAGTCTAGTTTAAGGTTGCTGGGATTTCCTTGCAGTTAATCGTAGGGACGCAGAAATGGGGTTCTTCAGTACGATCACCGGCGTTTGTGGATTTGGAGTTGGGCTGACGGCAGGGCTGACGATTGGGTACTATCTTTTCATCTATTTTCTGCCCAACGATGTGAAGGTACTTTTTTATTCTTCAATATCTATTCTTAGCAATGGTAAAGCTCAGAAGGCAAGGTGTTTATTTTACCTGATTTTTTTGTTGTCGTTCTCTTGCCACCTTTGAGTTCCTAGTGTGCAATTTCACCGTTTGTGAAGGGGCTGCCAGAATACCTAAAAATAGAAGATAATCCAACTTTGAAAATTCTTTCTTTTAAAAAACCAACTCTAGAAATTACAGCCATACTACTTATTCTCAGGTAAGATCTATTTTTAATCACATAGCCGGCGGTATAATTTCTTATGGAATTGTTTATATCAGAACTAGGATATTTTTTAGACTTTAGTGAATAGTTGGTAGTCCTTAATCTCCTCTTTTTACTTTTCACGTTTATAAGGAAATTGAAATCGTGGTTGAAATTTGTTAAAAGGGAGAAATAAAAACAAGCAGGAAAAAGTGATAATTCTGAGATGGGTGAAAAAGGAGAATATGAAGTCAAATTAGGGATATAGATTATAGAGAGTATTTTTAAAGTATTTTTCCCTTTAAGAAGTACAATGTAGAAATTATGTTGAATTAGGTAATAAGACATTTGACCTTTTAGACTTTCAAACTATCCGATATATATATTTAAGGGGATGAAAGGCTTGTATTTAAATTGTAAAATGCGCCACAGAAAGCCCTTTTGGAGGCATCCTATACAAGAATACTAGGGAATGAATATTTAATGTGATGTGAACTTGTAGTGTATGTAGCTGGTATGCATTCTGGTTAAGATATTAGGCTCACTTTAGTTGGTAGTTGATACTGATTATTTATGAGTATGTGGTCAAGTGAATAAGTTTCCTTCTTAAGATGAATGACAAATGGAGTTTGAACATGATCAGGATCCTGTTATCCGCCCGTTGGTTGAGCGAGACACCGAGGCTTTGCAAAAATTGCTTTCAGAAATCCCTCTTTGGGTTAAAAATCCAGATTATGACCGAGTATGTATTTTTTAACCTTGGATATGCATGCAGTTCAGTGCATTCTTTAGAGCCTAATTCACCTCCCTCTCCCATAATATAAGGTTGACTGGATCAACGAGTTTCTGGGGTACATGTGGCCTTATTTGGACAAGGTAATTGTATTTTTTCGTCTATGATGAAAATCTTGGGTTAGAAAGAACATATTATCCACTCTTTGCTCTCTCCCTTTGGCAGGCCATATGTAGGACTGCCAAGACCATTGCTAAACCAATCATTGAGGAGCAAATTCCGAAGTATAAAATTGACTCTGTAGAATTTGAAACACTGACTCTTGGGTCTCTGCCACCAACTCTGCAAGGTTTGCTGAATGATTAATCGTTTTCTGAATTGATTTTCTTCTAACTGAAGTCTGGAAATAAAAATGAACAAGAAATCTTACTGTATTTATTCAAAGTCATCGCCTCCTCGGTACATATTGAATGATGATATCCTATTTCTATCACCCCAGTACATTATTTATTTTTCCAGTGGCATATGTTTATAACATAGGAAGTTTAGGCATTCAGTTTTCTCTTGTAATATAAGTAAACTTCAATCTCTAAATACTTACGGTTCCCTTCCTTTCCAGGTATGAAGGTTTATC